GCTCATTTGTCCATTTTCCAGGCCAGACTGCACCACTTATAACCAGTGTGCCTGAATTTGAGGCATTCAGATAGTAGGATAATATCCTACATTTACACACCTTCTATTATTGTCCACATTTGATCCTCAAAATAGTTCTGGACAATAGGAGGGGCAGAAAAGCACGTTGCTATTTGATGAATGGAGAAATTTAATGCTTAAAGAAATTGTGCCTTTAAATGTCTTAACCAGTACCAGGACCAAAATCCCAGGTCTCCTGATTCCCAGACCATATCCACCACTTCTGTCCATGGTGAATGAGCAATAAAGAGAAATAAAAACCTGTGTGAAGCTAAAGTAAAGGCCAGACCAGTGGCCTGGCCCTTACTGGCTCCTCTGGCGCCCCCAGCTGGAGTCTCTGCCTCTCCGAGCTGAAGGCCTCCTTTGCTCACCATTGTAACTCACCACTGAGCGCTGGTCCACACATAGATACTAAATAAACATTTGTTGAATGAACAAGTGATTGATTGGTTCTAATCATTAAATTCCTTCTCAACCACGGAGCCCAGGGAACACCGAAGATAGTTTTGTGGAACAGATTTCCTCTGCCTCTTTGTCTCTTGTCCACTCAATGTTTTGTTCTTCTACTGCATTTGCGGTGAAAGAAAACTCGTCCTTTCTTGCCATGGGAAAGGCAAACAGCCATGCAAACCTGGAAGATAGCCAAGTCTGTATGGGCAATAAAGGAGGCAAGCCAGTTAGCTATTAACCAGCAGCCAGGATAATTCAGCTACTTATCAAACTCTCACCTCCTCCCTTCGGAGGCCCTTTCCTGACTTTTTCCAGCCCAACGTGGTAAGGCAGATTAAGGCCTTGGGCAATCACAGTGTGCTTTGCTCGCCCTCCCTCCCCCCAACTGTATCCAGGTGGCAGCATGTTGTAATAAACAGCAGGCAGTTTGAAGTGGAGAAAGTCCCAGGCAGGCAGGTAGTCTGCAGGCTGAGGGGTGAGTGAAGCTGGAAGGGCATGGCCCCAGGAATTGATGATGGGGGTGGGGAGAGGCTTAATTGGCTTCTTACATTATCCAGGAACTTCAAATTTATTTTGGCACCATTTAAGGCTTATTCCCCACAGGTGGCCTCTCAAGGCACTGGGGTCCTTTTATTTTATACTTAAAGCAAAGGTACAGAATTGTGAACATGTTGAGATATGTTTTGGCTGAGTAGTGTAAAGATGTGTGTAGAGTAAACTAATGTCTCTAATGGGAAATGAGGCAGAAAAGAGAGTTTGGGATGAAGTCGTAGAAGACTTCAGGGATAAGTGCTAGCAGTTAACATAAAATATTTTCCACCTTGTCTCGTAAAGTTGATATCAGTGTGTAAAAATCACAATTTTAACCAAATAAACCTTTGTATCTCAAAAGCACTTATCCTATGGCAATTGAAGACTTTTGAACACGGAAACACATCCATCTATGAACCAGGAAGTGGGCCCTCATCAAACACTGAATCTGCCAGCAGCTGGATCTTGGACTTGCCAGCCTCCAGAACTGTGAGAAATAAATTTCTCTTGTTTATAAGCCACTCAGTTTATGGTATTGTTATAGCAGCTGGAATGGACTAAGACGCCACCCTGTCCCAGACAAACACCACGGAAAAAACCATGGCCCCATCCCCAACCTGTCAATAAAGGCCAAGTAGGTGGCTTAAGCTTCCATCCTTGCCCAGCTGTAACAAGGTGCCCCCACCCCCCAGAGAAGACCTAGTAGGGAGCTGGCACTTTCATCCCTACTCAGTAATAATAAAGCCCTCCCCCAAGTGTGTTAGTGGAGGCCACGGGGGATGCTGGACTGCCACCCCCACCCAGCAGTAACAAGGCATCCTCCACCTCCGAAATATCATTGCACTTCCTGTAAATCTATAATTCTTTCAAAATAAAAGTTTTTTTTTTTAAACTGTAAATTTTGCCATCTTCTTTCTCATCCTCTCATAGTTATACTAGCTAACTGTATATGGGGTGGGGAGGGGAGGTTGGAACAGAGAGAGAGAGAAAGCCAACATGACTGCGCTAATTTCGAATTGCTTCCCAAATGGTGGAGTTTGAAACACTGTCTTTGCAACATCCTGTTATCTTCAATACCTGCTGGCAGGGCTGGTGTGTCTATAACAGGCACAGGAGGATGATCAAGGCTTTAAGCATGAACTCCTAGGAACTCCTCGTCAAAAGCAGGGAGTTGCCAAATGCCAGGGGCTGCATGTGGATCATCTGGGGAGCTTTTTAAAAATGCAAATTCCTGAGATGCCTCACTTGGGAGATTTTGATTGCTTAGGTCCTGAAGAAGCATCACTGAGCCAAGGCCTCAGTGGTTCCTATTGGCTCCAACTGTTGCTCTGACTCAGGAGCTGAGCCCAGGCATTAAGAGATGTGGGTGATAATCCTTGATCTCTTCCACTCTAGACGTATGACCTAGGGCATGTCATATCTCTTTATTCTACTTAGTTTATTATTTTTGCTTCCCTAGTTTTGACTGATTTTCAGAATAAAATGGAATATAAGAAAAACCTGGAGTTAAATAAAACATGTTGCCCTCATTGCTTTGTGTTGACCACCTCCCACCACTTGTCTGACACTTGCATTTTTAACTGCCTCCTCCTGGGGGCCTGAATCCTGCTGGTGGGAAAACAAGCCAGGGAGACATGAAAGGTCCCAGGCCCTGACACTGAGGTCGTGCGTTTGGAACACTGTGATTGCCTCTGACAAGGAGAACAAGGTGACCACAAAACCTAGAGTGTCAGTCAGAACCACAGCTGCCAGGCCCTGATAAGTGATATTCAAGTCTGCCCCGAGAAGCTGCCTCCTGAGTAGTAGTTGGAGAAAACAGAGTTGTGAATCTGGGGCTTCTGCCTGTCCTGAGTGAGATCCCGCAGGCTGGTTTAAGCCTCCAGGAAGACACCCCGCTCTCAGCTTCCTCAGGAGGGAGCAGCTTGTGCTCTCTCTTAGTCTATCTTTTAAAAAATGAGGTGATGGTATTCAACAGCTTAACACATTAAGTGCCTGTCTGTTTTTATTTCATTTTCAGGAAGATCCAAAACTTTTGGTCATCTATTTTACCCAGAGCCATTACTAAATGTCAGCTCCAATATCACATAAAAATAAACTAACTGGGTCAGAGGGAAGGTGAACTAACATTTACCAAGGAACCTCCATGTGCCAGGAACTGTGCAATGTACTTTCTGTGTACACTGTTCCTCTTGTTCCTTATAATAACCCTGTGAGGTAGGGGTTATGGCCCATATTTTGTACATAAATATAAAAGGTGCATGGCTTGTGGAAGCCAGAGAAGAGGGGTGATCTCCAGAGACTAAATTTGTGAAGGTCTACACGTGTGTATGTGCAGGGCGGGGCTCCTTCTTCAGCAGAAGAAATTGCCATCTGTGCCACAGCACAGGCAGAGGCAGGAAATCACCTGGGAGCCTTTGAAGGCAGCTCCCCTTAGAGGAGTAGGATGGACCAACCTGGGATTAAAGGATGTGACTTCTCTTAGAGGCTAGTGTAGAGGAGTGGACACCACTTGGAGAGAAAATTGTGGGTCACCAGAAACAGGAGGACGGTAGATCTGCATTGTGGTAGAAACCTGGCCCGGTCTTGATCCAGTTCTCCAGGGTCACTGGCACGGTTTGTAGGAGAGGAGGGTTTGGCAGTGATGCTGAGAACATGGGCTTCCACAGCCTGAGCCTCTGTCACCTCTTTGTGTCAGAGTAACAGAGTCAGATGGGTCATTTCCTGCCCTTGTAAGACTGTCATAAGTATCAAGAGGCACAAAATGTAAGGCAGATCTGAATGTCCGATCTCCTTGCTATTTCCTGCATATAGGGAACAAAGCAGAGCACAGGAGTTGTTCCTTGAGCCTTGTTAAATACAAGGGAGGAATCTGAGACTCAGAGAGATTAGGTGATTTCCCCAAGGTGACACTGCCGTGAGTGCTGGGGCAGAGACCTGAGCTCTGCACTGTCCGATGGTGAAGTCCACATGTATTCTGTTCTATATGTTCGTGAGCTGTGTCCCCTTCACCAGCACTGGGTGGACATGCAGAGGATATTTTCATTTGTTTTTCAATTTATCTTGTTTCTTTCTTATTTACCATTTCATCTTGCCTCTCTTTGGGCTAAGTTCATAGAGAATCATTTTTAAGGAAAGATAACATGTTACTTATTATTAAGCATTTGAAAGTCATAGTCTAAAATCATGAAGTAGGAATAAGCAGGGATATCGAGGTTTGTATATGGCTTTATGGCCTTAAGCCTGGCAGCAGGACACAGATTTCAGGTACGGAGTCACTTCTGTGCCTTGACCTCTGCCTGGAATGCCTGCTGCCTGCTGCTGCCCACACCACTGACACGTGCACCCACAAGTGCTTGCAAGTCCTTCCAATCAGTGAGTCCCAACAGGCCTGCTAGAGGAACCAGGACAGAAGCATTCTCTTAGGGAAGGATTTGGTTGGAGTTGTGAGCATGTAAGCCCAGAGGGAGGCAAGCTCTCAGGACTCACTCGAGCTAGGCCTGAAGGATATGCCCTAGGTTTTTCAGTTAAATGAGGCTGTGACAATAATGGGCAACGTTTATTGAGTGTTTACTAGTCTCTTTTCTGAGTGTTTTACATGGCATATCTCCTTTAACCCACACAACAATCCTATGAGGTGGGCACTATTATTATCCCTATTTACAAGGAAGGAAACTGAGGCACAGAAATTTCCAAGTGACAAATAAAACTGGGAAATATCCAACAGGCAATAAAACCACAAACTTTGGGGTTAATCTTTCTGCTGGATAGAAACAATTTGCATCTCTACCAGACAAAAATCGACAACTCAACAGAGAGCTTCCCAAACTCTGGGTCCTAATCACATCATTTCATCCATAAAAACTCAAAATTACTGATTATTCTTTCTGGTTATAAAAGTAATGTGTTAACCTTGGCGAACACTTGGACGATATTGAAAAGAATAAATCCAAAAGCAGAAATTATCTTTAAAACGAATAATGAACAAGTGTATTACTTTTGTATTAACCATGAAACAAGGTTAAATAAAGGTTTGTCCTTCTAGAGAATGAAATAATACTTTGGTGGGCATGTTAGCCAATGTTCCAGAATGGAACTGAAAGGGCACACATCCTTTTGGGTCCATGCAGATCCTTTCAACTTCTGTCAGGTGATATCACTCTTCAAAGCCCAAAACTTTCACTTATTTAAGAAATATATAAAGCCCCAAGGAAAAGGGCAACTTTCACAGCGCCAAGCCATGAAGATGCTGAACACAGATGAGTGATGGAGCCTGAGCCAGAGCCTCCACAGCTTGGTAACCTCGGGAGTTGTTTTTTGTGGAGTTCTTTGTCTTCCAGGAACATGGGTCATTCTCCTCCACCTTGGAGTCTTTCTCAGGCCGTAACCAGCTTCCCAAGAACTCTCCTTTCCTCTCCATAGGCCTCAGGATCCTGCTTTCCTCTACTTTCAGTACTAATTCTTGGGACTCTTCTTTGCCCCCTCCACTAGGCTTCAGAGTAGGACACAATGTCACAATGTCTTCAGTTACATTCCAGAGTCTCAGGGACTCTTGCTCTCTCCTGGTGTCTTGGATTTTCATCTGCTACAAAGAAATTAAAAAATAAATACAGACACACACTCACACAGAGAGAGAGAGAGAACTTCTAGAAGATATCCTTGATGCAGAAGGAAAGTTATCCTAGAAGTATCAGGGCCGGAGGAGGGGGGTGGGGAGGAAAAATAGCTTTCCTGGCTATAATTCCAGAAATTCTCACCACGAATCACTAATTTTGTGAAGACAGTAGCAATCTCTGTTAAGATGCAAACATGTAATTTAGGAGAGGCTACCTATAAAAGTAGGCCAAAGTCCTAGCGTATCTAATCCCCCAGAGACAGCATTGCCCTGAGAAACAGGGCAAAGGTCTGCAGATGCTCTTAGAGGTGGTGAGAGAATGGCTGGACCCAGCACTGGCCAGCATGAGAACACTGGCTATCCAGGGAAAAAGAAACCAGTCAGCCTTCAGAAGGAGAGGGTCACAGAGTGGGGAAAGGAGGGACATCCAAACTGAGCTGTTTTCTTTATGGTTTCACTAAGGACTGACTCTTGCTTTCTCATCAGACTTTCTTCTGGAAGGGGCATCTGGTAAATACTGTGATGTGCCACCCAGATGCCCCTTCAATGAAGGACACGCTACTGGAGTGCTATTGGCAGATAGTCTTCAGCTGTGTCCCGCAACCCTTCTAAGAATTTCCTGGACCCATGGTCATGTCCCTTCCAGGGCTGCTTACACCTGGTGATGATCCATGGGGGTATGGATGCCTGGCCATCTTGCCTGATTCAGGGAAGTTCTCAATTCTGAAGGGCATTGGCCAAGACTGTCATTGGGCCTGCATTGCAAGTGGACTTCTCTCTCTCTGCCCAATCTTGCTCTCTTCCCTTCCCTTCAATGGGAGTTAGTCCCTGGGGTCCCCTTTACAAGGTATTCAGAGTCTCCTTCCTAGGGGATCAAATCTGCAACAGGGCTCAAATATAGGGCAAAGAAATTATATTTGGAAATCATTTCTTCTAAAGGAGAGGTCAAAGCTCTTGCCATTCTTATAAGGGTCCAATGCAGATGAAACTCCCCTTCAGAGGTGCTGAGTGGATCAGGCAGCCGAAGAACCATAACAGGCTTTGAGGAGGGCCCTGTGAGTGCATTTCAGAACCTTCTTTGTCCTCATTCTTCAGGAGAGGCAGCCAAGCTAGCAGTACCAGTGCCTGTAAGGGGCGAGGGAAAGAGCCTGCCTCTGCTGACATCAGCCAAGGGTGTTGGCTGGCTCTTTCTCAGAATTGTGCTGTGTGATGCTGTCTCTCTTTGAAGCCGCACTTCAAATGAAAATAATCCCTAGCTTTTCTGACTCATCTCTTCTCCCAGTTTTACAAAAGCTGAAGCTTTGTCGGGTTAAGTGTTTCTGATTTGTGTTGTACCATCTTCCTAAATAAGGCCAAGGATACAAGCTCCGTCTTCTCTGTATGTATGAGGAAGGGATTAGTGATGCCTACAGCGGCGCCTGAGGGCTGAGGCTGGCTCCCCAGCCCCAGAAGCCTCAGCCTCTCTTGGTTACAATACATTTCTCCTCAAGTGTGCTTCTATCACTTGAAGCTGCTGTTTTTTCATTTAGAAGGCAGTTTTTTTTTTTTTTTTTTCAGAGAGAAGCTCGCAGAACTGGGCCTAGATGCAATGGAATGAATGTTTGTGTCCCTCCCAAATTCATATGTTGAAATCCTAACCCACAATGTGATGGTATTAGAAGGTGGGGCCTTGGGGAGATAATCAGGTCATGACGGTGATACTCTCATGAATGAATGGGATTAGTGCCCTCACAAAAGGGACCCCAGAGAGCTCTCTCACCCTCTTTCTGCTAAGTGAGGATGTAAGGAGAAGCAAGCAAGCAGTCTGCACTTCGGAAGGGGTCTCTCACCAGAAGCTGAGTGCTGGCACCCTGATCTTAGATTTCCGGTCTCCAGAACTGTCAGAAATAAATTTCTACCATTTCTAAGCTCCTTGGCAGTCTACAACACTTTGTTATAGCAGCCCAAGCTGACTAAGACACTAGAGAAGGTTCTTCTTGTTCCATTTCCACGTGGCAGAGTCAGACTGTCTTGGTGAATACACAGAAAGCTTGGTCACATTCAACTTGTGGCAGGAAGGTACTTCGTAATGTTAACTGCTGCTTTCCCTTCCAATATTTCCTTCTGTTCTTTGGCTCACCCCTCACCAATACTTACACCCCTTCCTCTCACCAGTTTCTGTTTGGCATTCTCAGGCTATTGCCCCAGGAGAGGAATGTGTACCTGAAAGCCCCTGGGAACAACAGAGCTAACTTAGATTTAGGGCAAAAATGAGAGTAATGTCACCAAGACTAGAAAATGATTTCCAGGCGAGGGAAGAAGGGGGGCAACCAGGAGAGCTTAGGTGTTGATTTGCCCACTCCTCCAGCTTAGAGGTGCGGGGAGGTGAGCAGTCCAAAGAATCACCAGGATGGTTTGGGGGACACACGGAGCAGACTGTATTAGTCTGCCTGGGCTGCCAGAAGGAAATATCACAGACTGAGTGGCTTAAACAACAGAAGTTTATTTTCTCACAAATCTGGAGTCTGGGAAGTTCAAGATCAAGGTGCTGGCCAATTTAGTTCCTGGCTTCTTCCAGGCTTCTCTCCATGTCCTCACATGGAGTGACAGAGAGAAAGAGATACAGAGACAACGGGAAAGGGGCGGGGGGGGGGGGGGGGAGGAGAGAGAGAGAGACAGACAGACAGACAGACAGACAGAGAGGGAGAGAGGGAGAATGCTTGCTCTCTGGTGTCTCTTCTCATAAGGACACTAATCTTATTGGATCAGGGTCCCATCCTTATGCCCCTGTTTAACCTTAATTACTTCTTTACTCCAAATACAGCCACATTGGGTTAGGATTTTAACATATGAATTTGGAGGGGGGACACAATTCAGTCCATAGCACAGAGACTTGTGGCCCCTGACAGAGAGAGAGGGAGAAAGCAAGAGCGAGCAGACTAGTGGCAAGATCCAGCTAAACGGTATGTCGAGGCAAGCAGGGATGTTTCCTGTGGCCCCACATAGCACCAGAGGGGCTGGATGGTTCTCACGTACTTGAGAAGAGCCCAGAGACAGCTGAGAGAGCCCGACCGAAAGGGGCCTTGCAAGTAGGAGTAAGGGATTACTGGTAATCCTAACTGTCTCTGATTCTTCCCACGTTAGTGGCAACAGAGAGGGGTGAAGGGCAGGGGTGGAGTGGGAAATGGATATATGTTATGTGTGTATACGCACAAAATAGATGTGAGAGCAAATACAAGAAATTGGATAATACTGGTTTCCCCAGGGGCGAACTGGGTGGTGGGGAGACAGGTAAAAGGAAGATTTCTCACTATACAAATTTTTTACCTTTTGAATTTTGATCCATGGGAATAACTTACCTATTTTTAAGATGAATAGTCCCCATTCAATCTAATTTAAAACTTAAATCCTATACCTATGTCAGAGCTCCTTCCTCACTCCCAGGTCTGGCATGATCTGTGGCTCTACAACCTGCAGCCGATCAGGAGTCCATCTGTTTTCTTCTCCTTCTTTCACTCCTCCTCTTCGCTCCCCTGCTCCAGGCTCCGGCAGGGGTGGGCTGAGGTTTGGATAAAACCTCTTATATGGGGCTATTTGTGGCTCTCTCCTGATGGTCCATGTGCTCTGGAATTTCAGTACTTTGTGGATTTTTCAGTAGATTCTCTCCTCCTCCTCTGCCTAGGGAACTCCATCCGCGGGGTATCGTGATGCAAGTTAAGTGACCTTTGGCTGACCTGTTGTAACTCCCTCCGCTCCCCTCCTGCCCTTGGAGGTCTTCCATGGTCTTTTAGGCTAGGGTTCCTTCCTTGCCCCAGCAGATTAACCTTAGGCGGAAGCTCAGCTTTCTTTCCTGGCATCCATTTCCTCAGGGGAATATTACACATCTTGCCACACCAAATACTGCCCTGCGTGCCAATAAGGGCAGCTCCAGCCAGCCTCCTGCCTTGACTTCTCCAGGCAGGAAGCAGACATTAGTCTCTAGGTTTCGGTCTACCATCCAAAGTCAATTTTTCCCAAGCATTCTTTGACCAGATCTACTCTAGGGCACTGAGATGGACTCGTGAATTCCTGCAGTCCTGCAGGCATTTAATGTCAGTCTTCTTTTTGTAAAGAGTCCTCTCCCACCGACCTGTCTGGGGGTGAGAGGAAAGGGGACACTCAGCTTATAACTCATCTCCTTCTTCAGTGAATTCCAGTATTTTGCTTATTTGAGCTGGCTGAGGTGTGAGGAAGTGAGTCCAAAGACAAGTCTGACCTCCTCTTATCAAAATCTGGAGAGAGGTTGCTCCTAGGCTGCCCTCCTTACAATGTACAGGTACTTATGGTCTGTTGCCCTCAGCTTTGGGGCTCAAGCCAAAATTCTGACACAAATGGAAATGTCCTATTCCACATGTGGTTACTCATATCAGCAAAAGCTTCAAAACATCAACCTGCCGGGTGCAGAAGCAAGCTCTTATCTTTAATGATAATAACGACCCCTCATTGAATGCTTACAATGGACTAAGAACTTTATGTATTAATGCATTAACTGTTCACAACACTATTATGAGATAGGGAGTTTCAGCCCTTCTCAGTGAGAAAACTTGAGACCCGGAGGTCACATAGCCAGTGGCAGAACAGGAATTTGAATCTAGATCTGTCTGACTTCAAAATCAATCTGCATATAAAGATGAGTGGTCTAGTTAGTGTCTACTGTAATTGCCTCGCATAAATGAACTATGGAATTGGGGTGCAGTTATTATGAGGGATTGAAATGTTCTTAGGACCATCAAACATGGTGTGTGAGTTCACTAAATAAACATATACACTATTTCTTATATATCAATTCAATTCAACAAATAATGAGTTCTCTCTTTGTCAGGCATTGTTCTAGGTCCTGGGGACACACCAGTGTACAAAACAAACAAAAATCCCTGTCCTCGTGGAAATAAAAATCCATTAAAACTATACCGAAATCATTTGTCATCATGCATTTCACCAATTAAATGAAACTAACAATATAACTATTATGTGAAGGCTCAGGAAGAACTTTGCTATTTAAAATGAGTCTTCATACTAGACCCGTTCGGAAACCACTGGTAATATTTAAATGATCACAGGACATGCTCCGTTAGATGAGGGAGGGCTTTTGTGTGCAATTAAGTCCAACCAGGTACCGACAATATCTGGGTCACAGAGAAAATATTGGGCAATCTCCTCGGGTAATCCCACTCATACATCACCCAGCTCGGTGTAAATTATGACTACTTAAGCAAATTAGGATTATAATTTCATTCATGATAAGGATGGGGAATCTCAGGAGCACACTTGGAGGTAGGGAGGTGGATTGCTTTATCTCTCGCTCACCCTTTGACTCTGGGACTCTCTGAGGTTCCTTCTAAGGCTCTTACAGAAGGAGTGGACGGTTTGTCCAACCAGGGAGCAGTCCCATTTGACCTATAACTGCAGCCCTCCAGGTTCCCCAGGGAAGAGGCCCTCATGCACTCAGTACCCGTCAAAGGTTCTATGACAGCTTGTTTAACCAAAAGACCCACGTTCCAAGAAATGGTCAATAAGGTAACTTTTGGTGCTTCTCGTCAGGTCCATACCTTCACTGGACACTAGCAGGGGCTCAGATTCACTGTTACCACCGGGAATCCTTCCGGGTCCTCGTCAGGGGGGCGGCGAGGAGTACTACGCTCTCCACATGGCAGGAGAGGAAAATGAAGGTGCAGATCAGCCTAGGGACACGGAAAGTTCTGCCCTGCACCTCACGCCTTCCTCAGTCCTTCCGCCCCCTCTCCTCCTGGTCTGACTTCCCTCTCGCCTTCGCTTCCCTTCCCGAAGGCCCCACGTCAACTACAAACAAGTCGCGCCATCGAACTACATTTCCCACAATGGCGCGCGCCGACCAGCCTTGCATGGGGTTTGCCCTAAGCTACCGTGGTAACTAATGTTGCATCAAACCCACACTTCTGAGGAAGAGCCGAGTTATTGTCCATTTATTCGTACAGATTCCTTTTTCCTTCTCCACCTGCGATCCCCAACGTTGGGTGAAGAGGCCTCCGCGGGGGAAATTCATTCAGGCGATTGCCCTGGCCATCCGCTTCCTCTTCGAGCCTCGGCCCTGCCGGGCCTCCGGGGGCCTGCGAATGTCATTGGTGGTTGACCGCAGCCCTTGCCGCCGTCGCTGCCACCGAGACCATGGCCTCCGGCAGTCCCGGCCTCGCCGCTGCCCGCCTCCTGCTGCGCTCCTTCCTCCGTGAGTCCGGCCGGGACTCTCTCCTCCTGGTCCCGCGAGCGCCTGGCCCCGCTGGGAGCAATGTCCTGGTCCAGGCCGCGTTTGGGCCCCCCAGGGCGGGGCCTCGGTGGGGGCCGGGAGCCGCAGGAGTCCGGACCCAAGTTGGGGACCCTTGGCGGTGGGGAGTGGAGGGGTGTAGTTTTGCTGCATATGTGTCGCGGGGGTATGACTTAGGCTGCTGACGGATGGGGACATAGGGTGGCTGAGCCAGGATTAGGGTCTGCGAACCCTGCAGACCTGGGGGCATGCTCTTGTCCTCGGCGGTGATGGGTGGCGGGATGAGGGCAGTGTCTAGGCTGGCCCTGTTTGGGAGTGAGAGGCAGGTGGTCCAGGATGAACTCAGCTGGGAGGGTGAGTGGGTTGAGAGGTAGGGGAAGGATATCAGTAGGAAATTGGAGGGTGAGGCTGACCCTGGTACAGAGGGTGCTACACTTCTAATTGTCCTTTCTGTAGATTGTAGGGTTAGCGGAAAAGTGGGTTCTGAACCCAGAGTCAGCGTAGCCCAAAAGACTCCTAGATGCTGAGAGTTGACTGGGGCCTTAATCAACTTATTTGCAGTGTGTCCAGCAGGCGGTGTGAACCCCTCAGTTCTTGAAAACTTAATACCCAAGGTTGCTAGTCTTTGAGTAACACTGATTGTTGAAAATTCTTGCTATGTTGAAAGTCTCTTTGTTTGTTAGGTAGGTTGTGTAGGAAGAGACTTTGCAATTAGGCAGATCAGGGTTTGAATCTGGCTGGTCCTGTACAGTCTGTGTAATAACCCTGGGGATGTTTCTAAGTCTACTTCTCAATTTCTGTTTCAAATCCCTTGAAAATAATACCATGTTTTAGTGAATCTGAGACTCCATCACTTGTAAGATGCACTAGTATTTTGTCTGCCACTGACAGTGGAAGATGATTGCTAATTAAAGTTGTGACACACCATTGGTTGTCAGATGTATCCTGATTTAAGGAGCATTAAAAAGTGAAAAAATGTGCATTCTAGAAATGATGCAGTCCAGGATGATCTGGGTTTACCGTGAGGAATAGGTGAAGCAGTTTATATAAAGCACGTGGGATGTAATAGACACTCCACTAAAGTTAGTTCTCTTTGCTTTTCCTTTCTTTGACTTTGTTTTTAATTCTACTCCTTGTACTGAATGTTGAATGAGACAATTCATTTCTTAGGAAGATTACATTCTAAAGTGTGCCATGATGAGTGTGCACTCAATAGCTACACTTAGTTGCTAGATAATGTGAGGGCAAACGTCTGGCTAGATGCCTTCAGCAAGTAGGAAAAAGTTAGGTTAATTGGGAAGGTTTACTGGAGATTCTTACTGTATAATTTAAAGGACATTTGAGGATCTTGTAGGCGGGAGGGAAAAAGGGATTGGTTATACCCATATCTTTCTCTCCTGGGGTCTTGCTCATCTGAGTTTCTGAAAAATGCTAGACTTGGATGGGTATGATAGCCTCGGAGAAAAATGCTAGCTCTCTGTAGGAGGAGAGTCTAGAGAAGAAAGGAAGAGTGTCTAAAAGATCAGAATCCTTAATCCACCCTTAGCAATCCTCTATTCACAGAACCGGAAATTCTCTTTTCCTAGACTCAGGACCATGAGGCCTTAAGAAATTATCTAATTTAGCTTTCTGTTACTGGAGTGGGTTCAATTATCCTAGTCATGTGGTTAACCAGTATGTTATCAAGGATCTGAGATTTAAACCAAGTTATCTCCTATATTAGAGGGGTTACAGACTACAGTGTTTAATGTATAAGAACCTCTGAACCCCCTAAATCTCTTTCCCAGGTCAAATTTCTAAGCCCATTTCCACTCCCACTGGAAAAACAGCAGCCACAACAATATTACCTTGCAAACATTTTTTAAGGTGGTCACAAATTATTTAGGCTTTGAGGTTAGTAGTGGAACTAGAGATGCCAGGGACTTTGGTTCCCTTTTCTCTTAAGTTTCACTTGATGGTACATTTTGTGCGGACAGTCCTAAGTGTTGCAATATTGATTTGAGTTAGGGAAAAAAAACCCCAAACACTCATAGATGCCTTCCAGAGCCCTACTGGGGGCAGCCTAGAGTGTTTAGAAATGCCTAAGCCAAAAAAAAAAAAAAAAAAAAATCAAAACAGTTTTACAGCTTATGAAAAAAGGGAAAGAGTCCAGTTGAAGTGGGGAGAGAAAATAAAATGAAAAATAAGGAAGATTTCTTCCATGACAAAATTTAAGGATTTTATAAACGCCTTTGAAGTTGAAATAGTAAAGTTTTTCAGGAAGTATAAAGAAATGCAAAGTCGTTTTAAACATAAGCAGGAGTTCCTATAAGTTGGGTCTTTTAGAATAAATAGGGAAAAGAGCCCATATTTTTGAACCTCAGAATTATGATGTTTTAAGGCCGTAAAGTGAACTTTACGATCCAACTGGTCCCATTCGTTTGTTTGGCAGATGAGGAAATAAACCTAGAAAGTTTTCTTAGGCAGTATCAGAATGGATACTAGAACGCACATCTTCTGACTCTGCAGTGCCCTTTCTACTAGTACATGCTATGTGATACATGATACTTTGAGGCTCCCGATTTTTTTTGTGTGTGGCAGTCTCCCTTTGTTGAGAAGGTGACTACCCTGCTCAAAGGTGCCACATGCCTTTTCCATGTGTCTACTGAGTTGTGTAGGCCTGTTTTGGAATCAGGAAAACATTTGTAAGTGTAGTTTGGAAAGGAGGGCCCTCAGCAGTGATGTTTCTGATGCTAGTATCTGTTGCCATTGCATCTAAGAACCAAATCTTTGTTTCAGAAATACAAAGTGACCTTGATCTAAATGAAACAATGTAGCCATGGGAAAGTGATTTGATTTTCTGACCTCGAACTTGTTTTTCCGTAGAGACTTAATTGTGGATGCTCAAAATAATTTCTCTAAGTATAGAGGAACAGTTTCATTTCACTGAAGGACAGGGATTTTTGTTGCCATAGACCCACATTTTTTTACATTATAACATTTTTAAAATTGGGATGTGTCTTATAGTACTTACTAGTATTTCTTAAAATCTATGGTGTTTTATATTTGATGAAATGTGGTACTAAGCTTCATTTGTTAGTAAATATTAAATGACTATATGATTTTGCATTTGAGTAGCGGATTATTTGGGGTTTGGGAGTAAGTGGCTACTGAGCTACTCTGCTATATTTTAAGTTCCTATAGGTAGGGATCATGATAGCCTGTGTATTACATATGCATAATATATATGATTAATCACATTTGTTAAAATTTTGAATACATGCGTGAATAAATGAGAAACAAGGATGTATTTTGAGAAGTGAGTTGGAGGAGAGGAGTATTTTCATGAACAGAGTTTCAGGTTATTGGTGAGGAGCATGAAACTGGTCATACGAGGCCGTGGTTTGAGTCCCATCTGGGCAGGTGCTCATTGGCCATGGCTCACTTTGTTAATCCCGCAGCCGTCTTATAAACGATGTGCTTGCTCTCTATGGGGCAGAGGACTCAGCATGTGGCTGACTGATAGAGATTTATGACCCCCGTTGAAGGCACAGCTCTCTCAGATTCCTCAGTCCGTTTCCTTCATGGCCCTTATTAGTTTGCACTTTTGTAGTTTTCTCTTTCTTTGTTTAATGTTTAAATGTCTCACAGGGCAGGATACTTCGTGTGGGTAAGGCCTGAGTCCATCTTGTTCACCCCTGAATCCCTAGTACCTGGCACATAGCCTGGCACATGAACGCCTTAAAGCAGTTTGGTCTTCTCATTCTGCATTAGTAATAATAATGATAATGAATAGCTAACAGTGAAATAGCTCTTGCTCTTCCCTAGGCATTATTATATGTGGTCGGTATATGATTAACTCATTTAGTTCTCATATTGCCTGTGAGGTACATGGTATTTTTACAATGTTTTTACAATGAAGCTGCACCTTTTAGAATATTTCATATGTTAAAAATTTACAAGTATATGTGTACGTGCTATACAATATATGTAGACATGGATTAGCATATTTATACATAAACGTATATAGGATGGACATATGAGGACATATGTAAAGCATTTCTGGTTGGACTTATTTGATTTTAAAGTATGAATTATATGTTCTCTCTTTTTAGGAAATGATTTCCCTTTGTGCTCACATAGGATGTGAACCCAGCTGTGGGAGTGTTCCGGGCACCTTGCTACTCAATTTACAGGCATCATCTTATATCAACATTGCAGTCTCCTCATGGGCAGCTGTTAATTCCATTTTCAGATGGGAAGACTGAGGCTAAGGGAGAGCAAAAGACCTGCCCCAGGCCACATGGCTGGTGAGCAGCAGAGCATGAACTCAAGCCCAGGCTATCTGATTCCTGGGACTCTGTGTTCTTAGCTGCTCCTGGGATGCAGTCCCAAGGTTAGGCTGGCCCATTTCTAAGAACTTGAAGAGAAGGCAACTCCACCACTTTCTCAGGAGATGGCCCACAGTGTGGCAGCCATAGCCTTCACCATTGGGAAATTCGTCCTGGTGCACAACCTCAGGCCTTCCTGCTACCTTAATCTTTAATTTAAAATGCTCGTTTTCTCAATATTGATAAAATCAGGTATCTCCTCTTGTGCTGACTTACCATTTGTCTGTCATCAGTTGTGTTTCTTGTTTATGACCTTTATCCATTTTTCTGTTAGACTTTTGGTCTCTTCCTTCCTGTT